AGGAAGCCACACCAACACCAAATGAGGACACTAATGAAGTTATAGAAAGTGACAATAATGTTTCTCAAGATCTTTTGGATGATCAACAAGAAAGTGGTAGAAGAGAAGGGTCTAGTGAAGAAGTGGAAAAGAAGGGTCAGTCTAGTAGTGAAGGAGAAGTTATTGAATCTTCAAGCGATGATGATACATATCAAGTTCCACAAGTAACACAAGATCTAGTCTACACACGGGAGAATCCAAGAAGGAGTAAAAGAGAGAAGAAATCACCTTCTAATTGGAAGAATACAAGAGTTTACTACAACTGCCAAGCCGTGGCACATCCAATTCAAGCCACATGTTTGATTGACCTTCTACCCGAAGAACATAGAGCCTTTCTTAGTAAGATAGATGTGGAATTTATACCACAAAACTATGAAGAAGCCAAGGAAAGAAAGGAGTAGACTAATGCTGTGGATGATGAGGTTCAAGCTATGGTTAGGAATCATACTTGGGATGAAGAAGAACTGCCACCAGGGAAGAAGTGTGTTAGCTCAAAATGGGTTTTCACTATTAAGTATAAGAGTGATGGTGAAATTGAGAGATATAAGGCTAGACTAGTGGCAAGAAGGTTCACACAGACCTATGGCGATGACTATAGGGAGACTTTTGCGCCAGTAGCCAAGCAACACACTATAAAGGTTGTTCTATCTTTAGCGGTTAATTTGGATTGGGAATTATGGCAGATGGACGTCAAGAACGCTTTTCTTCAGGGGGAGTTAGAAGAAGAGGTTTACATGACACCACCTCCGGGTTTAGAGGATACAGTAGCTCCAGGAAAGGTCTTAAGGCTTCGGAAAGCTATCTATGGACTCAAACAATCTCCGAGAGCTTGGTATCACAAGTTAAGCTCTACTCTGTTAAAAAATGGCTTCAAAAGGTCACATTCTGATCATACTTTGTTTAATAAACAAGATAATCAAGGCATCGTAGTAGTATTAATCTATGTTGATGACTTGATTATCTCGGGAAGTAACAAATAAGGTATCCAAGCCATTAAGTCTGCTTTACACTCTTCTTTTGATATTAAAGATTTGGATGTTTTGAAGTATTTTCTAGGGATCGAGGTGTGTAGATCAAAGGAGGGTTTGTTTCTCTCACAAAGGAAGTATGCCCTCGATCTCTTAAAACTCACAGGAAAACTTGGAGCTAAACCGGTTGAAACACCATTGGAGCAAGGCTATACGGTCAATCGAAAGGGGGAGAAAGATGACACTCCATACCATTGCCCAGAAAAATACAGAAGGCTTGTAGGTAAGCTTATATACTTAACCTACACTCGACCTGGCCTTTCTTTTGCTATGAATCAGGTGGCTCAACACATGCAAGCTCCTACGGTTTATCATTGGAGTTTGGTGGAAAGAATTCTGAGATATATCAAAGGGAGTCCCGGCAAAGGTATATGGATGGGAAGAAACTCAAGCACAGAGATTGTTGGATATTGTGATGCAGATTATGATGGAGACCGCAACACAAGACAATCAACAACCAGCTTTTGTACATTCATTGGTGGGAATCTTGTAACTTGGAAGTCCAAGAAACAGAAGGTGGTGTCTTGTTCAAGTGCAGAATCAGAGTATAGGGCCATGAAGAAACTCACAAACGAGTTAACTTGGTTAAAAGCTTTGCTGAAGGACTTTGGGATCGAGCAGAAGACACCTATCACATTTCATTGTGATAATCAAGCGGCTATCCATATTGCTACCAACTCAGTGTTTCATGAGAGGACCAAACACATAGAGATCGACTGCCACAAGACAAGAGAGAAGGTAGAAGATGGTACAATTCTCCCTTGTTACACTCAGAGTTCGGACCAATTGGCCAACATCTTCACCAAGGCAGCAAGTAACCAAGTTTGCAAATTTATCCATGGTAAACTTGGTCTTGTAGACCTCACAAATCCTTGAGAAAGACTTCCCAACCTTGTAGGGATAACACTCTTTTTCCCTTAACAAAGTTTTGTCCCACGTGGTTTTCTTTGTTAAGGTTTTTAATGAGGTTATTCACACAAGTGGCCAAGTTTATACATAATTCCGTTGTAGTATAAACTTGAGGGGGAGTGTTAATCAAGAAGGTGTTTAATACTAACTAAATCAATATTAGATATTAAACACAAGTTACTTAGGGCGCAAGCTTCAGTTTGAATAAAAGAGAAAGAGGAGTAACGACTAGTTTGACCGTACGGACACGCGAGACACTTTAGGCGTCGAGCTTATCTAAACCAAGAGCTCTAGCGCGTGTACGGGTTTGTCCTTATGTGTGAGCTGTTACACGCTTTGGTAAAGCAAGGCTAAGTGAGGATGCGATTGTCTTTGTGCATACCCCTTAGACCTAAAGTTTGTTCTCTATAAAACCAAAGCGTGCCTCCATATTTTGTATCACATCTTTAATCAATATCATGTTCATCTCTTTCTCTCTCACCATGGTTCTCAACACATTTCCGACTTAATCTTCTATTATCAACACGGACCATAAGCCAATATTATTGACCATGGAAAAATCTGAAACACCAAAAATGAAGCCTTTTCTCTTTGACAAGAGACTTGTTGAGATTCCAGACTTTAAGAATGCAGTTCATAGAGGATGGAATAAAGAAAAATCGAAACAGGGTCATTCTATTATGGATCAGGTCAGGAATTGCAGACAGGTCATAGCGAGATTAAAACATCAATTCAGCCTCAACTCAGAAAAAAGAATCAAACATTTACAAGCTGCTCTGAATAATGCAATGTCAAGCTTGATTAGATCAGAGAGAATGCTCATCCCTTAGATTCAAAATGAACTAACTCGGGCTTACAATGATGAAGAAAAATATTGGCAACAAAAAAGCCGTAATCAATGGATGTTAGAGGGTGATCGTAACACTGAATTCTTACATGCCTGCGCAAAAACAAGATTCTCAAAAAATAGAATCACTACTATCAAAGATAACGAGGGAAACGTCTACATAGGAGACAAAGAAATTAGTAGACATGCTCAACACTACTTCACGAGCGTCTATTCAAGCAATGGTAGACCGGTTTCTCCTATAGATTTCTCAGGCTTTAAACCAACGGTGACCCATGAAATCAATGCAGAGCTTTGTAAAGACTTCAGCGATAAGGAGATTTACGAAGCCATCTGTCTCATTGGAGATGACAAGGCTCCCGGTCCGGATGGACTCACGGCCAGATTTTACAAAACAAGCTGGGACATAGTAGGCACCGATGTTATCAAAGAGGTTAAAAGTTATATTGCGACATCATACATGAATCCAAATGTGAATCATATGAATATCTGCATGATTTCCAAAATAACCAATCCAGAAACTCTATCAGACTATCGACTAATAGCGCTCTGCAATGTTCTTTACAAGATCATCTCAAAATGTTTAGTCGCACGACTAAAAACTCATCTTGATGTCATTGTCTCCGACTCACAGGCTGCATTTATATCGGGTAGACTTATCAACGATAACGTGATGATAGCTCACGAACTGATGCATTCATTAAAAGTGAGGAAGTGTGTCTCTCAATCCTATATGGCAATAAAAACGGATGTAAGCAAAGCTTACGATAGAGTCGAATGGAACTTTCTGGAGACTACAATGCGCTTATTTGATTTTAGCGATAAGTGGATCAATTGGATTAGGGGCACCGTCAAATCTTTTCACTACTCTGTTTTGATCAATGGTATCCCTCATGGAACAATCAACCCGAAACGTGGAATCCGTCAAGGTGGTCCACTCTCACCATACTTATTTATCCTTTGCGCAGACATTCTTAGTCATTTAATCAAAACAAGAGCTTCGGAAGGAGATATTAGGGGAATTCGTATTGGTTTGAACGTCCTAGCCATTACACACTTACAATTTGCGGATGACTCTCTGTTTTTCTGCCAAGCAAATGTTCGTAATTGCCAAGCCTTAAAGGACGCCTTTGATATCTATGAATATTACTCGGGCCAGAAGATCAATATGACAAAATCGATGATAACTTTTGGCTCAAGGGTCCTGGCAACACTCAAAACAGATTAAAGAAGATTTTGGGAATTAATAATCACGGAGGATGAGGGAAATACCTAGGACTCCCAGAACAGTTTGGAAGGAAAAAAAAAAGAGAAATGTTTGATTACATCATTGAATGAGTTAAAAAAAGAACGGCCAGTTGGAGTGCGAAATACCTCTCGCCAGCGGGAAAGGAAATCATGCTTAAATCCATTGCCATGGCAATGCCGGTTTATACCATGTCATGTTTCAAATTGCCGAGAAGTATCGTTTCGGAAATAGAAAGCATCCTTATAAATTATTGGTGGGAGAAGAATGCGAAGAAGAGAGGGATACCTTGCATTGCTTGGAAAAGACTTCAATACTAAAAAAAAGGAAGGCGGACTAGGATTCAGAGATCTTGCAAAATTTAATGATGTGCTCTTAGCCAAACAAGCTTGGCGAATAATACAGTTCCCTAATTCTCGGTTTGCTCGTATAATGAAGGCACGATACTTTAAAGATGAATCCATCCTTGACGCAAAAGCTAGGGCTTACCAATCGTATGGTTGGTCATCTTTACTGGAAGGAATTGAAGTCTTAAAAAAAGGATCGCGATACCTTGTAGGTGATGGGAGGACTATTAGAATCGGAAAAGATAATGTTATTGAAGCTCATCCACCACGACCTCTTCAAACAACAGTTCCTGATGTCAATGTTACAATTCAAACATTAATATCCAGTGTAGGTTTATATCGTTACTGGAACAGCGAGAAAATTTTGGCAACCATCGATCCAATGGTCCAAAATTATCTTAAAAAATACACTTATCGAGATATGAACTGCCAGATAGATTGATCTAGAACTACAACACAGATGGAAACTACACTGTCCGCTCTGGATATTGGCTAATCACACACGATCCAAATGATAATCACAACAAACCGGCCATTCCTCATGGTTCTGTTGCTCTCAAAAACAAAATCTAGAAAATCGCTATCATTCCAAAGATCAAGCATATGCTCTGGAGAATAGTTTCAAAAGCATTACCGACTTGTTCCAGACTTGTGAAACGAGGTATGAACATTGATCCTTACTGCCCACGTTGTCATAAGGAAGAAGAATCTATTTGCCATGTACTCTTCAAATGTCCCTATGCAAACATTAATTGGCGTTTATCAAACACACGCGTGTTAACGTCACGTCAGTTTACGGATGACATTGAAGAAAATATTTCTTTAATTGTGGATTCCTACCATAATTCAAATCTTACAGAACAACAAAAACTTGATCCCTTTTGGCTTTTATGGAGAATATGGAAAGAAAGGAACAATTTAGTCTTCAATAAATTCAGAGAAAGTCCTTCGAGAGTTGTTATACAAGTTCAAGCTAAAGTCAAAGATTGGATTAACAATGTTGCAAATTGGCGCATCAATATACCCAAACCAAGCCACACTACATCTGCTACTTCTACATGGACAACACCACCTTTTTCTTTTGTTAAATGCAACTTTGATGCAGGCTTTGACGTTCGAACCTTTCAGGGCACTGGAGGTTGGATAATTCGCGACCATTATGGGAGAGCTAAAGCATGTGGATCATCAATTCTACCTCACGTGTCCACACCTTTAGAAGCGGAAACAAAGGCTCTGCTTGTGGCTATTCAACAAACATGGATAAGGGGCTATCGGAACATAATCTTTGAAGGCGACTGCGAGTTACTTATTAAAGCCTTGAATGGTCTTTCTCAGCATCACGAACTGTTCAACCCGCTTCATGACATAGATTTCTGGACTTCAAAATTTTCTACTGTTAATTTCACATTCGTAGGGCGTCAATGTATCACTGCAGCCCATTTTTTAGCATCTTACGGTTGTAATAATGATGTGTTTTACTCAAGTTCGAATAATCAGCCACTGGGGCTTCAAAAACTTCTTTGTAAAGATTTAAATACATGAATGAAATCTCTGTTGCAGCAAAAAAAAAAAAAAAAAAAAAAAACAAATAATTTTTGGATAGTTTGGTTGTTTTGGGTATTTAAATCTAAAGTTAATTGACATATTTAGATTTATAATTGTAATTCTAGATAATTAAATTATATTAAAATCTTATTATATAAAGTATGGTTTTCAAAGTTAATAACTCATAAGATCGTGCCACATGTCAAATTTATTGATCTCAGATTTTAACACGTGTTAAAAAAAATTTCTTTTTATTTATTTTTAAAAAAATATGAAAAAACTATACCCACATGTCAAATTTAGCAGCGTGTAAAACCAAAAATAAAAAAGGTTTGTTTAGAAAAAATTTTATAAGGAAGTTATACGTATATATCTTATATAAAACAATTTTAAAATCAAAAGAAGATAAATATAAGGAAACTAGATGTATCTTATGAAATAAAAATAGAAATTTAAGAAAAAAAATTATAAGTCAACTATACATATATATCTTATAAAAATAATTTTAAAAAATTAAAAAGATAATTATAAAGAAACTATATGTATCTTATTAAATAAAAATAGAAATTAAAAAATTATTTACTAATTCTAATTCTACTAATTAGAAAAGAAAACGATTACTTTTTTCTTAAAATTAAAAACAAGATTTATGAAGTTATACAATCTTATTGTACAATATGATAATTAAAGAAATTTATAATCAATTATTAATCCTAGAAGAAAAATGATTCTAAATACTCACCTCTATAGATAAACAAATAGATAGATAGACATATTAAGAATATATGGCGATGAAGGAAAATTAAGAAATATGAACGGCGATGGACGTAAAATATAGTTGTTGTCGAAGAAGCTCGACCCGATGTCGGAGGAGATAAGGTGGTGAAATAAAGAGCAGTTGGGGAAAGAGGTGAAGATGCGGTATCGGTGGTGTTGGTGTTGATGACGGTGGTTCAAGTTTGGTGGTGGTGGCGGTAAATATTGATGAAGGTGGTGGGTCGGAATTAGCGAGATCATTGATGGTGATGATGATTGTGATAGTTGTGAGATTCAGTTGTGGTGGCGGCGTGGTGGGTCGGAGTAGTGAGACTCGGTGGTGATGCCCGACGAAGGAGAGAAATAATGATATGGAATAAGAAAAAAAAATATGGTGGTGAAGAAATCCAATAAGAGGGAGAGAAAGAAAAAGAAAGAGGAGATCGAGCAAAAATAAGAGAAATCTAATGAGATAAAAAGAGAGATTTGAGACTTCTCGCCGGCGAGAAAAAATAAAAACGTGACAACGAAGAACTCATGAGTAATATGAGCCAAAATTTGACAAAACCATATAGCAAATAGACATTGTTTAGTTAATATTATTTTCTTAATTTTTTTTAGTCATAGGTTATTTAGTGCATATTCCCTAATTCGTTATGAATTTGTATTTTTTTTTTGAGGATTTCTCATATTATCAAGTAAAGTTACATGATGTGGATATAGACGGTCTCATATTGTCACAATTTTGTTTACATCTTGCCCACATTGAAATTAGAAAGTGTTATACACTCTTCCGATTGATTTGGATAATTTATTAAAATTCAATAATACACATATGAACATTTATTAAATATCATACTGTAACATATAAAAAACAAAACTACAAATAGTATTTTATATTACACATTATGCATAATTAATCTATATTTAAAAAATAATTAAAATACTATATTTTCTAAATTAAAACATATTTTTATATAATTTTAGTTAAGCTTACAAAAATGACAATTTCGATCGGTAATCCGTGCAACGCACGGATCCGTATCTAGTTATATATAATTAATCTTTTGATATTTAATTATATGTTCGAGTATTCGGGTACCCTATTTGAGTAACGGATATTACCCGGACCGACCCGATATCCACGGGTTTTCAAAAACTGTACCCAATGAAATAATTTCCTCTTACCCGTACTCACTTCGAACCAGTTTTTTCGGTCTGGGAATCGGTTCGGATTTCGGATCCGATTTTTGTCCAGGCTTAGGCATATCAATCGGTGTAAAAAATCGCCAGCTATATTATTCGAATCCCAACTAATAAGTAATTCGACGAAGTAGCCAACTAATAATAATGAAATCATAAGACATTATTAAATTAGTCAATGTTCTAAAAATACTTTTGGGTTATGTGTCGCGTAGAGCTAATGTGCACTAGGCCCGGGCAAAATATTCGTTAGATCCGCTTAGACTCAATATTCGTTTCGATTCGATTCGAAAAATCCGAATATTCGTAAAATTTTGGAGTAAAGCAAATAGGAAAACTTAGTATTCGTAAAAACCGGAGCGTAACCGGGCCTTGTGGCCTAGTGGTAAAGAGGTCACAGCTGTGACTTCTGCCACCAGGGTTCGAGGCACGGCCACTGGCAGGTTTACATAGGGGAATTGCCAGCTTCGTGGGATTAGTCTTTGGGCCTAGGAAGCCTTTGGGAGACCCGCGGTTATTCAAAAAAAAAAAAACCGGAGCAAATAACAAATATATTTTTTTTAAAAGTCGGATATCCGCTTCGATCCGTATTTTTCGATATATATATAAAATATATATATATATATATATATATATATATATATATATTCATATGCATATCATAATATATTTTTTTTACTTGTATTTGTAAAGTTGTGAACTCAAATTTTTATCCTTCGGATCTGTGTTTGTGACACAATTTAATAGTTTTTATTAGTGAAGTGGAATTTATTAAAAAAAAAATCAATATCCTTTAAAAATAAGAAGTTGGAATCCTGCAACGATTTCCTTTTGTCAAATTTTATCTTTTTTTTTGTAGTTTTTACACGCGAGCGCTTAGCTTTTTAGAGTTTTAATAGGTGCAGAAGTATCGAACCGGATATCCGCAAATATCACAAAAAAATCCGGATATTCGATATTCCGAATATCCAGAAATTTTCGGATCAAAGCAAATCACAAAATCAAGTATTCGGTTGAAACGAATCGAATAATAAATATCCCAAATTTTCCGGATATCCGCTTCGTGTCCAGGCCTACAGACATTGAAAGTTGACCCGCTTCACTTGTTCCCACTTTTATAATATTTTCTTTTTGATTAAATCCAGCTTTTATAGGGTCTAAATGGTAACCGAGAAATCTAGCTGAATTGCTGAATCTGGCTGAATTTTTAGTGATTTTTAGCTGAATCTAGCTGAATTTTTATATTTTCAAATGGTAACCGCTGAATCTAGCTTAATGTTTTTGTGACTTTTGATAGAATCTATCAATATAATAAAGAATTTAACTGAAAAATATCGTCAAATAATTATAAATATTAATAAAATAATTAAGAAAATATCAAAATAAAATAGATAAAATTATCTAATGATCTAATTAATTGTTATACTAATTAATAAATACTAAATTATCTAAAATAAATACTAATATAAATAATATATTGGTTACTAAAATTGAGTTATTCTTCCATATTTAATTTTTAAACTATGAAATATGTAGATAATCAATGAAAAGCTTTGTAAAGTAATATTGATAATTTAATTTAAGAAATTAATATGGTAATATAATATAGATTATCTAATTGTTTATTTTATGTTGTTTTTGCGAAATTTTACAATATCTAAAAATTATTAAAATTATCCAAAAATGTCTATAGTTATCCGAATATGATATCGTCTCTTGTATATTGTGGTAGTGATATATTATGTATCTGAATTATTTATATATCGTATGTGTATAATCTGACTTATTTTAAAAATATAAATTTGATGTGTAATTTTTGATATCCAAAATATTTTAATTCGACTTATGTGCTCGTTATTATCTAAATTTTTACCAGATATAAACGTATCTACGTATCTGTTGGTGCTGAAAAAACAGTTGAATCTGGCTGAAATACTGAATTCAGCTGAATTTAGTTTTATGTAAATGGTGACTGCGAAATTGCTGAATCTAGCTGAATGTTTTTGTTATGTTACCATTTAAGGCCATAATCTCATCTTGTTATCAAACAATACGTCTGGCCTGTCTTTTTCATAAATTAAAGTAACTCAGAATAATTAATTCAAGTGGACCCCAAATTTAAAAGGAAAACCAAAACTTTTTTCTATGTATTTACGACTTTTGATGTTATCTATGTTTTTTTTTTTTTATATGTTTTTTATATGTTAAGTTGTTAACTAATCAACAATCTTAACTATATATCCTATGTATTGAATATATAAAAGTGAAAAATCTATAAATTTTTTTAGATTTTATTTTCTGTCAATGGAGTTCGATCACTTGTCATTTTACTACACCCCTTGCGCGGGAATATTGTTTTTTATTTTTTTTTGATAAAAAGATCGTTTTGAAAACAATTTTAATGAAATTCTAGTTGCCACGTTTAATATGTTTTGTCCCTATACTTTATTGAATCGTATAATCTTTGTTATAGAATTATCTACTTTTACATTAACATACAGAATTCTTCTTTGTTCTATGCAATTATATAAGTAATATATTCTTAATACATATTAAAAAAATGTTGGTGTTGCTATCTGAGCTGTAATAGTTGATTGCTCCAGATAAGAAAGAATAGACAAAAATCCTTATTTAAGAGGCCCACCACTCTGAAGATTTAGACAAGAAAAATAAATAAATTAGGTTACGCATATCATCATTATATACATATGCACAACACAAAGTTGACTTTACAATGTAATATTAAATGATTATTAAATGCAAGAAGAGAGGGAATTATCAAAGAAAACAAGTTCCTTTAAACGGGTCCCTCTATATATATAAACTTTAAACACCTAAAGATTTAACATAGATCGAGAAAAATCTCAAAACAACAAAACAATAGCTTAAAGCAGACATGAAGCAACAACGTTACTTGGTCGTCTTCATCGTCCTTTTCAGCTTTCTTCTGGTAAAAGCTTCTTCTTTAATCATATTAAAACCCTAATTAAGATCTGAATATAGATACATATATCTGAATGTTGTATATATTTCTTGGTACAGTTTGTGAATCTGAGTGAAGGAAGAACAGGAGGAGTTGCAGAAGAATATTGGAAGAAGATGATGAAGAATGAACCGTTGCCTGAACCAATCAAAGAGCTTCTCAACAATCCGTTTAGGACCGGCCAAGAGAGATTCATCCAGAATTTCGACACCAAATCTGTTGTCCTCATCTACCACAATCCTAATGAATAATATTAACGAAGCCTCTTATATATATGACTTTGTGTTTATGTATGGATCGATTTATACGTGCACGTATATGTTACTCCTTGAGTTGCTTGAGTTGTTGTGTTATACACGTATACTATATATGTTCTGTTTAGTGCAGAAATGTTAACCCTAGCTATAAGGGATTTTTCGTTTTTACCATTAATGTGAGTGAGTGAGTCTTTGTGTGGTGAAAATTAGACTTGCTTCACATTTTGTTTTGATAATATATATAAATAAATATACGGTGCCTTTCGTGTCTTGTTTCTTATAGTATTATTTTGTAAAATCAATTAATTATTTTAGCAAAAATAATAATAATAAATAATTATGTCCCTATGAAAAAAGATGATCAATATGAGTAAATCTCATCTCAACGAGATTTTTTTGTTTTTGTTTTTCAGATAACTTCTTTTTAAAAAAATTTATTTTCATCTCTATATAAATGAAAAATTAATAGAAAGTAAAACAAATTATTCAATAGATAGCTGTTAATTATATAAGGATTTTCTCAAATGATTTGTTCATTAGCTATTAACATATACAATAAAATCTAATGCTTTGAATACAATTTGATGAATATCAAATTCACTAACTTTTTGAAAAAATAATATATGCACCATCTCCAAATATAATGAATAACATTATGCATTCATAAAATATGTGTTATATCCATAGGCCGTTGTCGTCTTCAAATCTACGTTGGATCAATTATAAAATAAGTCATCCTTAAAGCTAGACAAAGTAAAGAAAAAAGAAGAACCAACGATGAGTTGGCCTAGTGGTTAAGCCCCTGGTTACCGATAATGTAGGGACCTTGGAGGTCACGGGTTCAATTACCGGCATTGAAGTAAAGTCCTATTATTGAATCTACTGAGAAGAGAGAGTATAAATATAAATCTATAATTATACCTGGATCAGAAACTCTTCCCTCCAGTTGTTGAGATCCTCGAATGATTTGGCGGAGTTGACATCATATACAAGAACACAGCAATCAGCACCACGATAAAATGCCACACCAAGACTCTGAAACCTTTCCTGACCAGCTGTGTCCCAGATCTGTAACAAACAAAGCAAGAACTTAGCTCCTATAGTCAAGTAAAGAGGGCATTCCATATAGTACTTGGGATAAATTCTTAATCCAGGACAGAGTCTGTGAACCCTTTTCGTACTTTGATCATGCCAAAGCAAACCCCGTAAGAATCACATCAGAAACAAGTATGAGCCAATTCAATATTGGAACGGCGCACAACAATCCGACAGAACTTAAGTTTGCATTAGTATAAGATAAGACTGCAGAGAAGTTAATAATTCAAAAGTTAAGCAGAGATCAGCCTGAAGCTCATAAACTATTCAACCGTTTTTCCAATATCAACTCTGCCACTAAGGATTCAAACTCATACCAATGCACTAAGCAAGCAAAATCTACAACAAGACAAAATAAAATTACTTCACTGATAAACTGTGCTGTTACAACAAACCTGTAAAGTGAAAAGCCGGTCTTCAAATTGCACTTCCTTAGTCAAGAAATCAGCCCCAATGGTTGCCTTATACTGGTTGCTGAACTTCTTATTCACATATCTAAAGGCATGGTGTTAAAGTGAAACAGAAACACAAACTCATCTAACTCGAAAGAGGACAGATTGTTGTTAGTCATAAAACAGAGACAAGAGAATCTATTCATATATATTATAAAAAAAAAAAACATTGCAATAACTTCCTCTTTACTCCATTCACAGAAAATTTAGGATACTGATTCATCAAAGAAGTCTTCCCAACCCTGCAAAATTCCCAATGAGTCTCTTAACTTCGATAAACACAACAATAAGACTTTTGGACTCATAGCTCAACAGCTTCACCAGGCATCACGACAAATAAATATATGATTCAGAACATATTCACTCTCACTCACCAAGAAACAAACTAAGCCGAAAACAATTCTTCCTTGATTGCGAACACTTGACCGAATGATTTCTTATAAAAGGTTGTTGCTTATAATAATAGCAGGATCAAACAAATCTTGAATATGATACAAGATTCAGTATTCAATTTCTCTCCAGTCAAAAATAGATAAGAACACCAAATCTGAATCATACTGAGAGAATTAGACATGAACTTAAAATAGCAGCTTGAGACTAATTTCAACTAATCCAATCTCTAATCATCACTTCACAATTCAATTCCATGTAATTACAGAACAATCAAAATCCAGAAGACCTAAGAGATCACACCAATCCAGATCGAATCCAATCAAAATTCGAACCCAGAAAAAGTATATACTTACTGATCGAAAAACACTAAATCAACATGTAGAAGCAGATACATACGGAGAGAGAGAGAGAGAGAGTCAGTCACCGGAAAACTTACCCGCTATCGCCGAGGATGATGACTTTGAGGAGAGTTCTTCTACGAGAAGGCATCGAGATCTGTACAAAGACAAAGAGAAGCTCTCTGCGATTTTCTGGGTTTTTGGAGAAGACGCTTTTTCTTTCTTTCTTTTTTTCTTTCTTCTCTGGACTTTAATCTCGTCGACCCCCTCTCCTCCAAACATTCTCTATTTAGCCCCCCTTATAAAAAACATATGTTTATTTGTTTTGTTTAATTCAGAAAAATAGTAAATGACCAAAAATATATTGACTTTTTCACATAATTACGGACCCAACTTAACTTTGGATCTATATCCATATTTGTTGGATCGGGTTTCGGATCTTTTAATTCCCCATTCTAAGGATCGAATCTCTAACCCTAATTGGCAAAAAAAAAAAAAAACTCTAACCCAATTTTTTTTCTCATTTCTCACATTTTTCCTTTTTCTCTCAAAGAAGAAGAACGACGACTCCAAACCAACAAAATACACAAATTTTGGCTCCAGCGAAAGAAAACCCCCTTTTCGATTTCATTGATAAAACGTAAATCGATTTCTTGTTGGAAGAAGAAGAAGACGACGATGGGAACAATGAGAAAAGCATTGTACAACGTAGGATTCTGGATCCGGGAAACTGGTCAAGCACTTGATCGGCTTGGTTGTCGCCTCCAAGGCAAAAAACACTTCCGAGAACATCGTATGTCTTTTGGGTTTTGTTTGTGAAACAGATGAATTTTCGGATTAGAATTTGTTGTAATTTTCGGATTGAATTTGTTCCAATTTGTAGTTATTTATGTAGAATTTGAGACTGTTTTTGAATGTTTGATATTGAATTTGTATTTGTTATTGCAGGTACTAATTACAATGGTTATTACGAGAGGAGGAGGATCTAGTTGTAGAAGTGAACCATATGCCTCTCTTAGAAGTGTCAAAAGACAAAAGCAATTAGATCCAAAGCATTCAGAGATAGCAGCTGTAGTGAGGTCTGATTGTGAGACCATGGCTGCTGGTTTTAACATGGATTATGGTGATTATAGAGGTGATGGAGAGGCTGTTTTGTATCCAAGGTTGTTGGTGATAGTAGAGGTGATGGAGAGACTGTTTTTGTACCCAAGGCTGTTTGGTTTCTAAAGTTTTTTATAAATCTAAGTGTTTATGTACAATTGTTCGGATGTGTTTTGGTTTCTAAGGTTATGTATGAAGCTAATTGTTTAGGTACAACTGGTACGATCAGGTACAACTATGTTTCTGGGTTTATGTTTTTTGGTTCAAAACCTATCTAATTATGTATGTATCTTTGAATCTAAATCTTAATATTTTTATGTATGAATCTATGTATTGAATATAATCTAAGAGTTTTGAACCAATAAAAAAAAATCTTAATTTTTCAACAAATCTGACAAATATGTAGGTTGTAAGGGCTTTTATTAAAAAAACAGTTAAATATCTGAAAAATATCTGAAAGAATCTAAGGATATCTAAAAATATCTAAAAAAATCTGACAAATAGCTTACCTGGCGCCGTTATTTTTGAAAAAAATAATTAAAAATAGCACAAATTTGTTCATAGTTGTACAGTTGTACCCGGTTGCACATTTTTGCTCATAGTTGTACAATATAGAGAATTTAGTAAATCTAGTTGTTATCAACTCTAGTTTAATTTTTCTGCGTGGAACCGATGGTATTGCCTCATAAAAATACCATTATTTTGTATCTGTGTATTTATATTTATCAAAATACAAGTATTTCAAAAATTTATAAAATTTTAGTTCAAAACTACAAAGTAACCATGAAAGTATAAGGTTGTTAGTGTATGAATGTGGGATTTTATGTAAGAATTTCATTATTTTAGAAAATTTTGAAATTTTTTGTCAAAAACTTGTTGTGTAGTTTCATTACCATCGTGTATGCATTTTTTTAGGTTTTTCAATTTGGTTTTAATTGTTCATATTATAAAATTGGCCAAGACAATAGACCTTAGTTGTACTTGTTGTACTTAGTTGTACCAAGACTGAACAACTTAATTTGCAAAGCTACGACAAAGCAATCAACCATAGTTGTACCTGCTAAAACATAGTTGTACAACACAGAACATATAAGTTTCATAAACAAAACCAATACAAACAATATCGTTTCTTAAACTATCCTAATAAATAGCACTCATAAAACTTAGTTGTACAACACATAACATATAAGTTTCATAAACAAAACCAATACAAACAATATCGTTTTTTAAATTATCCTAATAAATAGCACTCATAAATCAACCTTGGTCACCCGCATCGTCTCCATCAACGTCACCATCATTGGCATATAATTTCACAACTTTCGTAGCAGACCATCAACATAGTTGTACACATTTGTCCCAGTTGCACCAAACTTAGGGTTTTCGTAAATATTCTACTTAGTTGTACCTAATAGTTTCAGTTGTCCCAAATCTGCAATCCTAAAATATTTTAACAAATAACCCTATTCAAGCTACGAATTCAACTTTTCTCAATCATACTACACTAAGAAAACAAGTATACTTACCTTACAATATGGTGGGAATAGAAAAAGAAGAAGAAAAGAGATATGTCTTTGGAGATGCATAATCGTAAGCTTTAATGGTAAGCTTCAATGGTGGATGAAGAAGAAGAAGAAGAAAAAGAAAAGACGAGATAAGAATTTGGAGATGCTTAATTGAATCGTAAGAAGAAGAAGAATTCACTTTTAGTTTGGAGATGCTTGAATCGTAAGAAGAAGAAGATACAAATCTTTTAATGGTGGATGGAGAAGAAGAACGTTGGAGCTGCTGAAGAAGAACGTCGGAGCTGTTGAAGAAGAAGATCGGAGCTGCTGAAGATGAAGAAGAGGAAGAAGAAAAAGAAGAAGAAGAAGAAAAAGAAGAAGAAGAGAAGAGACGTAGGACGGATTTATGTCGTTAAAGGTGGGTTGATTTGATTGGTTGATTTGTTAGGTTTAGATTTTAATGAGAGAAGAGAGAGAATGTTTTTGATTGGTTGAATAAAGAATTTGTTGGTATTAAATTAAATGTAGAATTAAATAGATAAAAGGAAGGATAAGGGGTAAAATTGGTTTATGAAAAAATTGGGAAGGAGAGGGGGTAGTGAGAATAAAGAGGGGTTTTTCAAAGAATGATTCTCCCCAAAAGGGCCAATGAGATTAAAATCCGTATCTTTCAAACCATATTATTCTTTTAATAGAGAAAGCAAATCAGGTTAGGGGAGACTATATTCTTGTCTCTGATTTTTTAAGAAATATGTATATCCAACTATAATTAACCTTATACAGGATATTTCTATTATAAAAAAAATGTTGACCTTTATGTAAGGTAAAAAATCTTATGGTTTACTAAGAATTTATCTACAAATTTGATAAATCTTTTCGATTAATTTAAATAAATAATGTTATTTTATTTGATATTACTCTATTTATCAAGAAAATTACGGAACCGTACACATTTTATGTATGATCGTATTTGCTAATTCGTTCAATGATACGTTATTTTACCAAATATCGGGTTTAACGCATTAATAGTATTTCCGCCAGTCCGTACGAAAATACTTTTCTTTTATATACCATTTTACAACTATAGTTAATTACTAAATTTCTTCTCTAAGATTAGAATAACGACTTAGATAACCTAAAAAGATACAAAATATACGGAAATGTACGAAAAATTAAATATTAGATTTTATAAATAAGTAAGAAGTACAATTAACTATTAGAAAAAAATAAGAAATATATTATTTGACTACAAAACCTCTATGAAATAATTAATTTTGGTTGAATCAAATGATGTATATATATTTTATCAAATCGAAATTATACTATAGATAATAATATTTGTTATTAATGAAATTTAAATCAAATGTTTGACCGCGTAAATCTTATCTTAATCAATAAGAGCTGTAAACGAAAATAATAATAATGATTTAGGCTCCTCCATGTAAAGAAAATTAAGGAAAATGATACGAAAAAACAAATTTTAGGGATGGATGATGAATGATCGAAGGGTCATGGGTGATGAATGATGATGATCCAAGGGTCACAATGTCTCACAACAAAACGATGCCAAGCCTCTTTCTGAATCGGAGGGTTACGACTTTTGTATGTGTAATTAATTAGATACATGAACGAGAACAAACAAACTCTTTAGGAATGAATACAAATTCTTAAGGAAAAATGAGATTTACACCTTTTCACCATTTCAATGGATTCTCTTTATAAACCCTCTCTAATCACATAGATAACATCACACATCACCACACATATCGAAAACAAACAAAAAATCAGTAATGGCTTCTCCTTTGTATCCGTCTAACAATCCTTCATCTTCAATTGTGGTGACACGAGACGAGTTCAATGCTTTTCACACAATCGACAGAACCTTGTTCAGTCGTCTTGTCTTCCATCTAAACCGAGACGTGGACCAGTCGTTTCTAGCGATGTGTTTTCTCTTGTTGCTCGAGCAATCTGGTTACGCCCGTGACGTTATCGCCTATCTTGTCTCGTTGCCAGACGCTTTCGTTGACGCGGTGGCTAACGAGATCGGTGTGTGTATAAATTTGTTATACAACCTAGATTTCGCATCTACGTTCTTCGCTGCTAGCAATGATGATAATTCCATTATACCTTTGCTCTTAAGTATGACTGGAGGGAAGTTAACTCTCAGATTAATCAATCAAGACCGCGAAATTTTTCGTGTTGGAGTGTCAAAGAATTGGACCGATGTTGGCACTCGAGCTTTCACAGATTTATGCGAGAGAGCTCACATGATCAACAGGGAGAAACTTCTGGCTTTAGAGAGAGAGAAATTTATTGAGGACATGAAGAGGCTCAGGTTGAGTCTTCAACAAGAAAACCCTAACAGGTTGAGTGTTCAACAAGTAAAAATTGCGTCTCCTCCTCCTCCTCGTCCGGTTGAAGACGAAACAAACAAGTTCCATAAAGAGAAAGAGATAATGGAGGCAAAAGAGAAGGAAGCGGTGGTGGCGGCAGATGATCGGACGGTTTTCCTGACGTTTTCAAAAGGGTACCCGATTTCGGAAGCGGAAGTTAGGGTTTACTTTACGAGGAGGTTTGGGGAAGTGATAGAAGCGGTAGAGATGCAGGAAGTTGAAGCAAATGAGCAGCCGTTGTTTGCGAAGATGGTGTTGAAACTTCAGTGTGCGTCGATGATGGACCAGATTGTGAGTGCAAGGTCTAGAAACAAGTTCACCATCGATGGCAAACATGTTTGGGCTCGTAAGTACGTTCGCAAGATCCCTTACCCAGCTTCATCCTCTACTCATATTTGAGTGTCTCTGAACTTTTTATTTACATGTTGTTGATGTTGTTGTTTTTCAATAAAATTGTGCCGTCTATCTTATTATTGTGCTACACATTAATATATGTTTAAGTTGGCGATTAAAATTATTGTTTTCTTAGGTCTTTTGGGAGTACTTTTGTTCAAGGTTTTTTTTATTATAGTTAGTCAAGTAATCTTGTAGATATTGGCCAACATCCTCCATGCACACCGGCTCTCCGAATCTTTTTAGCTGAGATCATGTTAATTCGAATTTGTGTTAAATAATTAATTTAATTATAAAATCTAAATAGTCCTTTCAGTTTTAAAAAATGTACGTAAATTTATATGTTGTATATCAAATATGCCACACTTAGATAAAAATGATTACTATATTGTTGCCGATTTTGGAAATTTTGTTATTCTCGTGTGTCATTGTTAAATGACAATTGGCTATCCGGTCGGCCCCGGTAGAAACGCACCGAGGTGCTACATAGTAGACTGGTCCACCGTGTTAACGGTTATGTCTTCACAGGCTACCACTCTGCCTATCCCGAGTTTGGAATGCCTTCCGACTAAGTACCAGAGGATAGTCAGACCGTCTGCATTTCTGACTACCAGATAAACCAATTGGACCGAAAACCAACTGACATACTTCTCACAATAATGCATTGTTAAATTTATAGTAATAATAATTTTAAAACTAGACTTAATTTTAAAACGGGAAAGTATTACATCACACGTAACACAATAATTATTAGTAATATAATTACTAATAATTATTGTGTTACGTGTGATGTAATACTTTCCCGTATTAAATTAAGTCTAGTAGTAGAACTCAAATTTTGTTTTTGAACAAGTATCATTTTACATTTTCAATATGTAGATTAATATACTATCAAATCACTAATCAGGTTTTTTTCTTTCTTCATTGAATACATATCGGTTTGATGTTACCCTTTTCCTTCTTCTGATTTGGATTGAAAATGGATTCAGAAAGAGAAGAAACTATCATTGATATAGATTGAATGTCTTATTGTCAGGATACCTTAATTAGTATTCGTACTTTCGTCATAATAAACTGATTGTGACTAAATATTTATATATGGCGACTGCAAAAATCATAACAACATTCACAATTTACTGTAGTATATCAGATCGAGGGATAAAAAACTAAAAGTTATCGTAATGATCAATAGTATCTTGACATGACTACATTCATACTTAGATGAAAGTAAACTTGAAACATTATGATAGCTGTGGTATATGAAAAAACTATATATATATACTGTAAGCTACTTTTTTCTTATACGCATTTGAAGGAGATTTTGTATAAAGCAGTTGCTCATCTTCTTTCACCAAATATTTATTGAAGAAGATGATGATAGGATTGAGTTTTGGGGTAATTAAAAAAAAGATTTGGAAGCATTAGGAAGATTTTGTTTTATTTTTGAAAGATTCACCAAGATTAATTAGGAATATGTTTTCTTCTCATACTTATCATCGTACGATTTTCATGGAAAGGAAAAACACTTGAATGGCTGGTCAGTACGCTCTGGACCGGACTAGAGTTGAATCTGTCTGTTTTTTTCTACCATTCACATAATTGTATGATATACTCCAGACCACTCCACACCAATTTTGTGCCAACTCCAGACCAAAAAAAATATATGTTAGTATGCAGTGAACAGTAACTGCATACAAGGGGATGTGCCTTTAGTCAAGTGGTTAAGTCCACATGACTCCGTCTTCCCCACCGGAGTTCGACTCCACTAAGTCGCGTTACCCCGCGCAGTAGAGATTGACTATGGATCGGATCTTGTCGATCCAAAGATGTCAAAAAAAAAAAAGGTAACTACAAACAAAAATATAACTATCCTAATTAATTTCGGATGACAAAAAATAAATATAACTATCCATTTGCATACCAAAATCTGCTTTTAAAAATGAAGCGTACTGCAGTATGGAGTTTAGCATACTAATACACGGGTACGCATTGTTATGTTACAACCATTCAAAACCTTAATTTTGATTACGAAGCCACATTAATTATATGAGATATATAGCAAGTTCGATAGGAGAAGATGGCAGATATAGAAGAAAACAACACAGGACAATGATGCATGATTGAGTAAAAACGGCGTGAACGGTGAACCTCTATATGATTTAGGCTAAATCTTTGCTGCCAGTACATCATGTGACCCAAACTTTTTAAAAACGTATCAATTAATCGAAAGAGCATGAACTTGGAAAGAGGTAAATGAGAGATAACGGTTTTCTTTTTGTTCAAATGAGAAATAACATGTTTTTTTTTTTTTTTTTTTTTTTTTTTTTTTTGTCATCTGTAATTAAATATTACTCAAAAGAGCCATTCTTGTGGAATGTTGTTTACATAAGTGATATGAAGCGGTTCCGTACGAATTTTTCGTGCCAGATTATCCGCTTTTGCATTTGCACAACGAGAAATTAAAGATAAAGAGAAGGTAGAGAACTCTTCCTTGTCGCTCTGAAATTCCTCCAGATACACTGAGAAGGCCGGCCATTCGGTTGGGGAAATGAACCAAAGCTTTTTTTTTTTTCTTCCAATTGTTGCTTCCACATGCGCATATGTGAAACATATAACTAAACGAAAACGATGTGAGCTAATATGAACGGGTAAAATCAGTATTTATAAGAATAAAAAAAAGGCAATAGGAAGTCTAGAGTTTCCATTTAAAATTTTAATTTTTATCTTTTTAAAAGGAAATGAATTCATTATGAATAGCCTTGTAATCAACATTAAATTCTCAGATTTCATTGTCAACAAAACTTATTACCGTTGACCAACAAAGAAACTTATTACCACTAAACATGCTCTTAGGGCACCCGTTTTGTAAGCGGGAGGTCTTGAGTTCGACTCTCAACGAGAGCATTTTTTAAAACAATTTACATTTTACAAACAGAAAATCTATCTGTAACTGAAAATTGTCGTTGTGAATCTTTGTTTTTGCCTGGCTGTATAATTACCAAATATAGAAATAACAAAAATTATTCGAAAACTTTCTTAAAAATAGAATTTGAGGGTGAAAAATGGTTCCTTGTTCCTAGGAGAACAGGAACAGAGTTGGGTGTTTCTTGTTTCATCTCATATTGACACCACCGGAGAGAGATAATGGCGGAGGGGCAATCCCCGGAAAACTCACCGCCGGCTCCTCCTCCTCCTTCTCCTCCGTCACCTCCCTCTTCCAACGATCAACAAACAACATCTCCTCCTCCTTCGGACAATCAAGAAACAACATCTCCTCCTCCTCCATCTTCTCCTGACCTAGCTCCTCCACCTCAACAACAACAAGAATCACCACCTCCTCCTTCGCCGGATAATTCCTTCGATGGTTCTTCCTTGTCGCCTCCACCACCACTGTCTGACTCATCCTCCTCCTCACAATCACAATCTCCACCTCCTCCTTCACCCTCCCCGCCTCAGCACAGTGACAACAATGGCAACAAAGGAAACAACAACGAAAACAACAATGGAAATGATGGAAGCAACGGTGATGGAGGAAACAAGAACACTTCTCATACTCCTCCACCAGCGTCTAAGACTTCGGACCATAGCTCTCAGTCGCCACCAAAATCGCTGGCGCCACCTACAAGCAACGGTGGCTCGAATTCGTCAAGTAATGATGGTCTGAACATCGGTGCTGTTATAGGACTTGTGGCGGCAGCTGGGCTTTTGTTCATCGTCATGATCTTGTTATGTGTCTGTTGTTTTCGGAAGAAGAAGAAGAAATCAAAGCTTGACCAGATGCCGTACTACGGAAGCAATGCTTACGCCGCAGGCAAAAGTATGTACAAATAAAAACCATGAACCCTAATTAAAGCCCTATTAGTTTCTTATTACTCAAGAAAAAACATGAATTTTGTTTCTTGTCACCCAAGAATTAGATAAATCATATTCCTCTGCTCTTCTCTTTCAAACAGCATCTCATCTAACTATGTACAAAACCTTGAACCCTAACTAAACCCCGTAACATTAATTGAGCTTTAGTTTCACCTAGCTTCTTCTTAGCTAAGCCTTTTTCATACTTTTGTTTTTGGTTGGGATTCTTAGCTGGGGGTGATCAATACTACAACCAAAAAGTTGCAACACAACAACACTACAACCAAAATGATCACATTGTGAATCTGCCTCCACCTCCTGGATCAATAGGAACAAACTGTGTAAATTCACCGCCTCAACCACCACCTGCAGGAAATTGGCAGCCAATGCCCTCGCCACCAGCACCAGTGTCTGGAGGCGCAAATGTGATCCATAGCGGCGAAATGAGCTCAAATTTCTCATCAGGTCCATACGCTCCATCTCTACCACCGCCTCACCCTTCAGTGGCTATGGGATTTAACAACAGCACATTCACTTACGAGGAGCTTGCAGCCGCAACTCAAGGTTTCTCAAAAGATCGCTTGTTGGGACAAGGCGGGTTTGGATATGTTCACAAAGGAATATTGCCAAACGGTAAGGAGATCGCGGTGAAGAGCCTAAAAGCCGGAAGCGGGCAAGGTGAGAGAGAGTTCCAGGCAGAGGTTGAGATCATCAGCCGCGTTCATCATAGACATCTTGTGTCTCTTGTCGGATACTGCAGTAATGAGGGAGGACAGAGGTTGTTGGTCTATGAGTTTCTCCCTAATGACACACTTGAGTTCCACCTTCATGGTAATTAATGATGATTTTTCTTGTATTCTAGGGTAGGATTATGACCTATACAAAAACTAACACAAAAATATTCACAAAATCAATTGAATTATAGGGAAAAGTGGGACTGTGATGGATTGGCCAACGAGAATCAAGATTGCCTTAGGATCAGCAAAAGGTCTTGCTTATCTACATGAAGATTGTGAGTGATTTATCTCTTTTCATCTTTTCACTTTGTATAAAACCAAAGATATTTACATGTTTGTGTATGATAATTGATAATTGTGGTTAGGTCATCCAAAAATCATCCATAGAGACATTAAAGCTTCAAACATTCTCCTTGACCATAACTTCGAAGCCAAGGTATATGCTCTAGTTACCTAAATTCTGTTTCTTCTACTCTTTACTTGTCATTACAATTTTCTCTGTTAACAATATATTCTTTAAATTAATCTCCAGGTTGCAGATTTTGGTTTGGCCAAACTCTCTCAAGACAACTATACACATGTATCGACTCGTGTTATGGGAACATTCGGATACTTAGCTCCTGAATATGCATCAAGCGGGAAACTAACAGAGAAATCAGATGTTTTCTCTTTTGGAGTTATGCTTCTTGAGCTCATAACCGGACGCAGACCGGTTGATCTTAGTGGCGACATGGAAGACAGTTTAGTTGATTGGGTGAGTTATATGTAATACATTCATATATTTAATTAAACTC